TGTGTGTGTGTGTGTGTGGATATACTGAGGGTGCCTGTAGGCTCGGTGAGATGGCCTGCCCGTGACTGCCTGGTTACCAGAAGCAGGGCTGTCAGTTTACATTGAGCTGCACACACTCACTGTGCTGGCCCCTCAGAAGCTGTTAGCTCCCTCCGGTTCCAGTCTGCCCATTCCATAGTCCGAAGGACAGTGAGTGCCGGAGAATGACCTTATGCTCTCAGGGGCCGCTGCCCCTGGCCTGACCGAACTCAGATTGTGGCGGTCCATTTCACTGGAATGGTGGAGGAGTCTAAAGGTTCAAGGTGAGAGGGGGGAGATACTAAAGGGTCCCGAGGGGCAATAATTTTCACACACAGGGTGATGAGTGTCTGGACTTGGCTGCCAGCGGTAGTGCTGGAAGTGAGTACAGTTACATAATTGGAGAAACATTTGGACCATGTATGGGATCGGTATGGAGTGATATGGACCAAACACAGGCCAATGGGACTAGATTAATTGTGAAAACGAGGCAGCACGGATAAGTTGGGCCGAAGGGCCTGTTTCCATGCTATCGACTTCGATGAGGGCTTTGTCTTGGGATCAAGTGCACAGTCCTAACTGGGAGAAACTTGTTCTTAAAAGTAACTTGCAAGCTTCTTGTGACCCACAGTAGGGAAGGACAGAAAAAGGAAAGACTGTAATGGATGGCTAAATGCCAACAGAATACAGGCAGAAGAGGAATTGGAATGTGTCACGTTCACAGCTTTGTGGATTCACAACGCCCATCCTTCAGTAAGTTCGATGCCAACCAAACGTAGGTTTAGATGATGGGGAATTATTGGGGTCTCCCATTGGTCCGGCAAGGTGGAAGGGACTTCAGGGGCAGTCAGCTGTGAGTGAACTGGACAAGGTCATCAGAGATGAGTTCAGACATTTGGTTTCAATGAAAAACATGCCTCAGTTTTCTCAAACGGAGAATCCCACGGTCTTATGAGCGATCTTTGTCTGTGTTGCTCTGCAGGACAGGCTCTTCCAAACACTTGGCCCTGTGTGAAAGCTGCTTCAGCACAGTCCCGTGGTGCCATTTAATTTTCACATAATTTCCAGAAATCTAGCTTCTGGGGCGTGATGTGTTTGAGCTGAGCGTAGCGGAGTAGCGCCCACTGAAACCTGTGTGTTTTGTGCTCGGTGTTCAGGCTGACTCTGGGGAAGCCGCTCGGTGAAGGCTGTTTCGGGCAGGTAGTGATGGGAGAAACCATTGGCATTGACAAGGACAAACCCAACAGGCCAGTCACTGTGGCTGTGAAGATGTTAAAAGGTGGGTGCACATCTTAACACGAGTCCCCCACAAGTTGGGGTTGGCTGTTGTTTCTGGCACTTGGTGACGTGTGGGCGGTTTACGGTGTCGGTTGGGGCTGTGGGGGGCTCGTGTTAAGATGCTCCCCAGTCTTCAGCAAACTCAGTTGAGTAGGTTGACGGCCTGCCTCCTTAAATACCTACTCCGACTGCCTGTCACGTGTTGAGGATGGGTAAAGACCGAGAGCTCAGACGTTGACACAGTTCCCTGCTTGGTGACGGATGGCAGGCTTGCCTGACCCTTTAAAGCCTGGCTCATTTCCAGCAAAGCTTTGTGTCCCTCCATGGCGGCCTTGGCTGAGGTCAGCTTGGCCCACCGTTGAAAGGCTGTCACATTGGTGCACTGCGGGGCACGCGCCAACATTTGCCCGTCATTATTGATACAGCGAGCGGTTGCACCAGTTTTACACATCTCTCTGAAATCGTGGCAAACAGAACAGCGAAGGTGCAGTGTACCCACAAGAAGCTGCCACTTGCTGTCTGCACAGAAGGCTTCGAAAAACATGGACGGAGCTTTCTATGTACCCAGCCCTTCCACCCTGAGTAACAGCATTATGTTAGCCAGTGAGCAGCTCATTCGGAGCAACCAATCTCATCAGTGTGACCCAAGTAGGGGCGAAAGGGCTCCTTTCTAAAAGACTGACCAGCTCACTCATGTGGTAAAGGCTAGAAATGGCAGATGACAGGGATGCCCCAAGGGAAACAGCAATGCAGTCTCTCTGGCTGGGGATGGAACTGTGAGGACGGTCTCAAAACTAGTTAACTTCATTATGAGGGAGGATCTGATTGAACCGTAAAGAATACTGAGAGGCCAAGGTAGAGTGGACATGGAGAAATTGTTTCCACAAAGTCGGGGAGACTAGGACCCAAGGGCACAGTCTGAGAGTGAAGGGATGAGATGAGGAGGAATTTCTTCAGCCAGAGGGTGGTGAATCTATGGAACCGATTGCCACAGAAGGCTGTGGAGACCAAGTCATTGAGTGTACTTAAGGCAGAGATAGGTAGGCTCTTCATTAGCGAGAGGGTCAGGGGTTATGGGGAGAAGGCAGGAAGATGGGGTTGGTTGAATGGTGGGGCAGACAATGGGCTGAGTGGCCTAATTCTGTTCCTGTATCTTATAGTGTTGTATAACCCTCCTCTTATGAAGATCTAAATAACATTGATACATGGGAGGAGCACTGAAATCAGGTGAGGGGAACAGGTGATGTGTCACATCTACATAGGAGCTGGTCACAGTAGCGCAGGATAAATCGGTCTGTTCACAACTTAAAGAAGTTAACCTTTTCTCAAGGTCAGACCTGACTGTTTCATTGCTACTTGCAGCACCTTAACAGTGGGTACAGTCGCCCTCAGGATGACTCACTGCTGTGTGGGCACCAACCTCTCGAATGAACACACAAACACACACACACACACCAGGCTAAGCCCAGAGGCCCCGTTTGCTATGGCCCGTTGCCTGTAGCTCGGGGAGGTGACAGACAGAATGAGCTCTCACACCGCTGCCTTTTGTTACAGGTGATGCCACTGAGAAGGATCTGTCTGACCTGATCTCTGAGATGGAGATGATGAAGATGATCGGCAAACATAAGAACATCATAAACTTGCTCGGGGCTTGCACCCAGGATGGTGAGTACTGGATGAAGGTGGGGCAGGCTCCCTGAGACAGGGTCAGAGCGTCCAGATCGATCTTGGCCATCTTCCTTGCTTGCCCAGCTTGGTCCCTGCCTCAGGGAATGTGGTCGTACTTGTGCAGCCCCTCCCTGGATCGATAGCGCACCATGAGCCCCTTCTCAGGCTGCTCCTGTGGTTAATGATCCCGTGACCCTTGGTTCACACTCATGCCTGTGAATGGTAAGTGTGCGTCTGTATGCACACTGTCCACAAGTGGGGCAACCTCCAACCAAAGCTGACCCCCATCAGGAGTCCCCCCCCGCCGCCCGCCCGCCCGCCCCCAACCCAACACAAAGCCATTTCCACGCTGAGCTCCACCGCTCGCTCAGTGCCACACTGCTACCATTCACCGCTGTCAGCAGCACCTTAGGGAATTGGGACCTGTACCCTTTGGGAAGGCTGGGGTCAGCGGGGTGTGGGAAGGAGCTGAGACATGGGAATACTGCAACACCCAGCCCCGACACACTGTCCTGCCTCGGCTGTGTCGTTCCTTCCTTCAGTGGCTATGGGGTGACACATCTGGAACTCCCGTCCCATTGGCTGTATCTACTCCAGCTGCCTGCCACCCTCTCCAGGGCACTTTGGGATGGGCACTCATTGCTGACCACCCTGAGCTGCCCACACCCCGTGAACAAATACAATTTGCAATGGCACACAGTAGAGCGATTTTTTTTTCCTTTATTCGTTCACGGTTTGAGGGCATCACTGGCCAGACAGCATTTATTGCTCATCCCTAATTGCTCAGAGGACATTGCTGTGGGTCTGGAGTCACATGTAGGCCAGACCCAGGTAAGGATGGCAGTTTCCTTCCCTAAACGACA